ATATTCTAGTTTGCCTGGAGCCTTTTGGAGTGGTTAGGCTCGAAAACACTGGTAACTCCGCATCTAAATTCAAGGACTTCACGCTACTCACTGGGGGTGTTTTTTTTATTCTCTTAGTATTGAAGAGTTGCTTGTGCTATGTGAATAGGATTTTTCCTAGGGAAGTCAAAATTCCAATCAAAATCATTGTCTGTTTCTCTCTTAGTGAAAATCCTGTACAGCGTACTTGACTCAACATCAGCTACTAGAAGTGTGAGCGCTCACTTACAAGAGAAATGAGAAACTTTCTTGTATAACATACAGAGGAAAGCCTGCTTCTATTCCTCCTATACTGGTGTATTTGTGTTCTCCTGTGACCCTTACAGAGATGACAGCATACTTAAACCTTTATTCCCTGTCTGTATGATAGAACCTGCCTCTCTATCATAATCAGGACTGACAGTTTTGTAGGTCTTTCTGTTGGGTTGACAAAGGCCCGGAGGGGATTATGTTCACTAATGTGGAATTGCTTTGCCAGTAGCTCACTGGTTTAATCCACCTTGTGTTGTATTATCTGAAGGCTCCCAAGGAGAACCTGGAAATGGAGAAGTTGCACAGTTCACCCTGTAGGCAGTCGTGGTGGGGGGTGAAGCTTCCCAACGTGGGAATCCCCTGAGGTCAGAGCTTGAGGAAGGCAGCTGGGGCAGTGAAAAAACTTAATTACCTACATAATGGATGCAGTCTCCAAGAACTACAGCAATCTGTTGCTTGATGCCAGTCATAGAGTTGAACCTGTGAGTGCAGCTGTAGTGTGTGCAGTCAGTGTGCAAGCAAGTACAGTAGCTTTCTTTTTTCCTGCTTTCTCCAGTGCCCCTGGGGTTAAGGGTGGAGATGAAGGTTTCCCTATGCTGTGTGATGCACTACAGACGGGAATCCCGATCCCTCCTTCTCCTCTCTGCAGGGGCACACCTGCTGTGTAGAGGATGAGAGGTCTACCAGGAGAGCTCTGATGTCAATGGTTGTATTCTATTCATGTTTTCTTTTTTTTTTTCTTTCCAGAACAGCTGTTTTGAATTTTCCAGTTTTTGCTGTAATCTTTGAACAAGCTTTTTTTTCTTTTTTTTTCTTTTTTTTTTTTTTTTTTTTGAGAGAGAGACCGGGAAAGGGGGTGGGTTGGGGGGGAAGACACACATACATTTGAGTGTTGAGGGCATTTTAATTTTGATTCCTGGCCTGAAAATGGGGTTTAAACTTGTTGCCTGCCTGCTGTTTGAACATGGTCCAGTGGTAAGAGGCTTTAATACATTTCTTCTTTGCAAATCATCAGCTTCACGTCTTCCAGTAAAGGAAAGAATTTGGGAGTATAGCTTCCAAGAGTAATAGCTCTCTCAGCCCCATGCAATGCACAGGCTCCAACCAGAAAGTTCCAAGGAAAATATTCAGAAAGGGGGAAGTTATCTAGCTGTATCCCTGACTGTTTTGCATTTAAACTAGTGGACTTTTCAGACAGATCAGTATGCTCTTTTTTCAGATAGACATGCAACCATCCTGGAACTAGTAACTGTGCTGGAATGTATCAATCCAAGCATAGAGTAGAGAAATTAACAAAATATCTCTTATTTCCCAAGTTTATATTGGTGATGCTCTGTAGTTTGCCATTTTTCCTGCTCTCCAATTAAATCTCTAGCTGAAAACACCCTTGGAAATGTTGGAGGCTGCATCCAGGTACCCTGATTTCTCCTTGTATTTGCCTCCAGATCTGTAGGAAGAACTGGGTGCCTTGAGAAGGGCTTCAAATAGTTAAAGGACAATGCTGAGCAAAGAGCCACTGTGAGGAAGGTGGTAGGCTCAGGAGCTAGGGTGGCATTTGTGCTGGGTCTGAATCTATATTTATTTCCTCTGAATATCGTTGTTTTAGAGGAAGCCTCAATGCGAGTATTCTTTCAGGAGGGAATGAAGTGCTTTAAACTCAGAGGATCCGCTCAACAAACATGGTCATCTTAACTATGCTTCCCAGTGCTGTGGTTACCTGGGGCAAGGAATGACTGTGTACTGTCATTAAACACGTATTCCCACAGTCGGAGGCCGCATGCAGTTTTTGGGAGCAGGAATAACTCTCTGTGGTAATGCTTGTGAACAGTTCTTCTAACGAGAGGATTTCTGATCTCTCTATTGGTGTTTTCCATGGCTTTGGGGATGATTTGGATGTGAAAAGCATGAATATATGACTGAATGCAAAAGTTCTTGCAGATAGGAACAGGTTATTTTTTAACCTCATAAAACAGCTTAACACATACAGGAGATTTAATTTTCGTATTCTTGCTTGTTTGTTTCCTCCAAAATGGAAAAATGAACTAAGGAAACCAAGGATGTAACTGCTGCAAGTGCGTTGAGGGTTGGGCAAGGATGAAGTGGAGAGTTTGATATTTAGATTCTGTAGTGCTGTCCAAAGCTGCACAGATTGTGATGCCTTCTCCTTGTGCTTCAGTTACTTTGCTCTAGAATGAGGACTAATTTTTGTTCGCTTCCCTTTTATCAGCTGAATAGTTTTGTGGGAGCCAGTATGTTTCAGCTTTTCTCCTGTAATTTAAGGTGTATGGTAGCAGTTTGGCTTAATCTTCATGTAAGAGCTTCCTTGCATGATGATTGCAACTTTAATCTTTAGATTTAGGCTGACAGCCCCTCCAATGACTTGGATTTTGTTTTTCTTGCCCGAGATCCTTGGCTGTCGACGTCTCTATACAGTGTTTTCACTTGCCTTTTCTGGAGATCAGTGTGTAGTTCTCCTGGCACTGTTTGTTGGCAGACGGTGAGGAGAATCAGAGAGACTAGGAGACAGCAGCGACAGATGAGATGAAGCCATCCACTAGACAAGTGTGTGGAGATGCAGTTAAGGTGAATGCCCCAGTGGTTAATGCTTTGCACTGTGTATCTTTATGGGTACTAAAATTGCTTCCGTAAAGTTCATTGTCAGGTGCTTTTTAACCTCTCACTGACACAGGGGGTTTTAATCTGCTGAGTTGTTTTTTTTGTTTACTGTGTCAGAGGTGCCAGTTATCCTCTTATCCTATGCTGCTTGGCTTTTATTTTCAGACAGCTCTAAAGTAATGTCCAGTTTAGGATTGATTATGAACTAAACATTTTTTCTGTTTTCCTGGGCTGAAAACCTAGTAGGCAAGTGTTTTAAGTGTCATGCCTGTTATTGCTTAAATTCCCAGTTTTGAGGGGTGTGTGAGTAGCTCTCCTTTTTTCTTGTCAGTGACAAAGTGGTAACCAAAGCATGACTGAAACTTTGGCTCCCTCCTGAGCCAGGAAGTTTCAAGCTCTATTCCCGGGGCAGCCAGAAAGTTATTCTTGCACCATGGACAGGTCGGAGGTTAACACAAGTGTTTTTCATTGGCATCCCTTCCAAGCAGTCTTGAGCAGACTGGCTAAGAGGGATGCAGTGACATACATCCAGGTCTGTTATCACTGCTGGTGAAATTTGGGATGAAAGGTATGGCTCAGTTGGGCTTTTCCCCTTATTCTGTGTGTGATGTTGTGAAATGGGGAGGTAGCAGCCCACCATCCTGCTGTTTGTCAGCAGTTAAGGGGATGTGCAAGATTTGTCCTTTTGATAGTCCAGCCCTGCTCTGGGGTGGTGCAGGCTGCCTCCTCAGTGTGCCTCTCGCTCTGTCCTGCTTTTTGTGAATGTGTTGGCAGAGACTGGATTCTGCCACTTCTCTAGTTGTGTTGGGGTCTAGGCTGCACTCTGCTCCGTGACACACAACTGAAAAAAACCCTGTGTCCTGTAGATACTGTTATCACTGTGTCTCTTCATGCTTCCGTTAATAACTGATGTCTGATTAAAGTGTGTCTGTTCCTGTAGAAGCCCAGTGTTGGATTCGTAATCAAGGGCACCATTGTGCTGTGCTAGCATGAAGAGTTTTGCTGTGGTTGTGATCATGTTGGCCTGTCTAACACTATCCTGGTTCTTTATTGTTTTCTTTGTAGGAGGGAGGAACAGAATGTAGGAGCTGAGAATTTTGCTGTGTGTCCTATTCAGAAAATGGATGTGACTGGAACAATGAAGATGTGATGCATTTTCTTGCTACCAGAAATTACAGCAATAGATTTCTCGTTTCAGAGAGAATTATTTTTCCTCTATTTCTAATCGCTTTGTGTTAGAGAAGTGAGATGAAAGGAGTGATGGCAGGGCTAGGTAGGGCAGCCTTTAAAGGCTGCACAAGGAAGAGATGGGAGTGTTGCAACCTTTGGGTTGTTAACCTTTTGAAGTCGCATGGGGTAGATGTCTCATTACCCTTGCTCCAACGCATGCACATTTTTACCTGTGACATACCCAGCAGATTGCCTTCTGCCTCAGAGATGGTGAAGGGTTGCTAAACCTGTTTGGCTTCGAGGCAGTCATTCTGGGGATTCTCTTTATCTGCACGCGTGAGGGTCAGGAGGCCTGCAGAAGCCACTGTCCTCTTCACGTGTCTGATGTCCACTCCACAGGACCAGCGCTTAAGGCAAAAGCTCCTGTGTTGGACGAGGGGTTTTAATAATTGCTTACAAAAATAGTGGTAGATTGTCCCTCCAGGGCCAGGTAAGGGAGCTGCAATGCTTCTGGGGAAATTTGCAGCCACGATTGAACACACCAGTGACTTCGTACAATAGGGAGGGTGCTTGAGTACCATGTTTGAAGATCTAATTAGAGAAGAAACTGAATGTTAAACTAGGTTTGTAGTTTGATTTAAAATTTGATAGTAAATTTTTAAAGCCAGTCGTCATGTGGGTTTTTTTTTATTTTTCCCTGGCAGAATAACATGTTTTTAACATGAGTAATTGATTGCATTTGTGTCCATCAAAGTGCTGACTTTAATACGAAGAAACAGTTTACCTGTATCATGTACACATAAATGCATCTTGGCAGTGATCTTGTTTCTTGATATATAGCACATCTGTTGCAGGTGACAATAATACTGAACAAAGCTATGAGCATTTCTGTTTGCTTCTGTCTTTTTTCTTTTTTCTTCCAGCTGTTGCAGACTCCTACAAGATTGCTGAGACAAGCCTGAGTATGGGGGTGGTCAAGGAGAATCCAGAAGCTCTGGAAAGAGAGGGAAAGTGAGAGAACTGCACTTGTTCAGTGTGTAGGAGAAGGTTAAAGCATAAAATACAGAAAATGAAAACTATCATAGGAAAAAAAAATAGAGCAAAACCTACTGATGAGAATAACCACTGAATTATCTGACCTCCCTCTGCTGCTCATGTCACTGCTAACACAGTCTTGACTTGCTGTTCATGCTTGCCCGTGTTTTTGGCGTGTCTCAGTGATCCAGTAATGTCTCTAAAACAGGTGCCACATAGACACAGGCAAATGAGCTTTCTTCTTACTGTTCCACCAAAGGATATGACTCACTGGTGAAGTGATGGTTCATTTAGCAGAGCAGTTAAAGTATGGAAATTGTCAGGGTTTCCAGTGATAACTATTTCCTTTGGATATTTTTTGTGTTATGGATGCAACAAGGAAACTTTTGACTGTGGACACTGGTCTACTAGGAACTGACTTCTCATAAGTTTACTTTATGTGACCCTCATAACACAGGTAATTTCTTGGTAGTGGAAGCTGAGCTAGATTTGAACGTAGAGAAGATTATTGACTTGATCTTTTAATCTGTTAGTTCATTCTTCACTCCTGTTTTCTGTTTGGATGTAGTAGTTTTGAGATGTTTTTGGAAAGGATACTGGGAAAACTTGCAAACATTTTTCAAACAAAAGGTGGTTTGTCTTCCTGGCTGGGAGGGTTCATTAGGACACTTGCTCTGAAATTTTTTTGTTTGGAAAACTGAAGTTCTTAGAAGTTAGATGGCCTTGGCTTTCTTTGTTCTTTCGTCTGTCTCAGACATCTGTATCGGCTCTCTCACCGAGCTCTTTATCTTACTTGGCTTTTCTGTGGATGCCTGGAGGCCTTGGCTCACATTCTCAAGAGTGTCCACTGGTTCAAGAAGCCATCACTGCTATCAAATTACCTTGACAGCTGTTGTCCCATTTCATATTTGCCATCCCCTCCCTCTGGCTCTCTTGTGATTTTTGGCAGAAGCTGTGGCTATTGAGCAATAAAACTTGGATCTGAGAATCCTGTGGCTGGTGGGAAAATGAGATGACAGCATAGTTAATGCCTTGCAACTTGACTTCTTGCTGATGTATAAAGTAGCATCTTTATTTAAAACAAAACCTACCACTAGCTACTCTGTTTGTGGATTAAGTGGATGGTTCATTTACTGTTCATCTGGAGTTCTGCAATAGGCGCTGGTCCCTTAAAATAGCACACTCTGTATCAAGAGGTATATGACCAAACAAGCTCTTGACTTGGAGTCCTTGACAAATGCCTATGCATAGGGACTGCAAAACAGCCAGGATGCTCATGTTAATGGAAGTAATCCATAAGGGCACAGTTGGCTTTGTCTTCATGTTAGTTTTGTTGATGATCCTGCCCCTGCTGAGCCTGGAACAGAGCTCCTGTATTACCATTTAGTAGACACGAAAGATGACCTTATAAGAAGCAATTGGTCTTGCTTGTATTTGAATTAACAAAATGTAGAAATAACATTGGGGCCTCTTTTGTGTGTGTTTGGGGATTTCATTGCCTTTCTTTTAAATGCAACTATAAAGCATTTCTGACAACTGCCGGAAATGGTGATGATCTTGGGACCAACCATCATAACAGAGCTGCCATTTCTGTAAACCTCTCCTTTTGAGATGTTTTGTGTTTCCTTTGTCAGTTGTTTGAGAAGTTGGCTGATGCATGACATGCTTTAATCTCTCCTGATCATTCCTCTTGTCCCTGTTGGAACATGTCAGCAACTAAATTTTGTGTAACATACGGGAAAAATTAGAAGGGGAAGAAGGAGCAGATCTTAATTGGAAAGATGACAGTCAGAAAACAATTAATGGATCCAGAACACTCAGTTCTGAGGAACACATACAGGAAAGCATATAAAAAAAATTCCTTTGCTTGCAATGTGTATGATTTACTGTCTGATAACATCAGTGTGAAATGTAAAGCTTGTAAAAGTCTGGATCAGACCAGCCTTAATGCATGTCTTACAGCTCCTAAATTGCTGTGCCAAAGGGGGAAGGCTAGGCTCCTACTGAAACATGTGCTGTGACTGTTCTGTATGTGTTTGCAGAGAAGGGTCTTTTAACCAGTTGGTTCTGGTGCATGTGGACTGAAATCATTACTTTGGTCAGTGGACATAAATTTGAGGGCTGGCGCTTTGGGGCTCCATCCTGGTAGGAGCCAGTGGATTGTGCATGTTATGTGGTCTCAGCATCTCAGGTGCTGTGGAGTCTTCCTGGGTCGTGCTGAAGAAGAGCTGGGGATGTAACATGACCAGCTGTGAAGTCAAGGGGAAAAAGCCAGAAAGCATACCATCAAAGATGTCCTCAGACTTTGGAAAATCACAATTACATTAGCACTGTCTCCTGGAAAAGAAATAGAAGTAAAATAGAGAATGGATTACATCTAGGTGAAAAATCCATGAAGCATCCCTCCCTTAGCTGTAAAGTTTGAGTTTGCAGGGTGGGATGCACAGGTTTTCTGTTGACATTGGGGAAATAACTTTTTACTGACTTCTCTTTCACCCCAAAGGAAAAAAAAAAACCGCTCATAAGGCCTCAGTTTGGTGTACAAATTGATTAAATAATTTATTTTTAAAGAAAAAAAGTGGAAATCTATCCTCCCTGTCCTGCATCCCGTGCTATCCTGATATGTAACACGAGTTTAAACAAGGTGCTCCTCAGTCCGGTCTCTCCATGGAGATTGCAGAAATCGCTGGAAGGCTTGAGCTTCCTACGATCCCTGGCACGTCTTCCGTTACGCAGCTACGGTTATTGTAGCAGTAGGGGGCTTGTTAGTTTTCCAGCTGCAGTTCCCAGCAAATGTGTCCGCTCTGTGGTGTGGACTCCTGCATGTTCGGTGTTAAAATAGTTCTATAGCTTTCAGGCATCTTGCATTTCAAATATGGGTGGAGAACCAAGCCTTGGCCTTTAAGGCAGGGGTTTCAAAGCTTTTTCATATCAAAGGCCATGTTGACAACTTGGCAAGCACTTGTGGGTCCAAGTGCGTTAGATCTTTAGGATAGGAGCTGACTTGCTGCAGGCGTTGGAAAGGATGTTTTGCATTGTTTAAATGTATTGTCAGGTGCGTTATGTCCTTTCTCTGCAATGTGGCTGCTGAAACATGTCCTCCTTTCGTGCTAGGCTTGGCTTGCCTTCCAGTCAGCCAGAGAAGGGGTTAATTTGCTGTTACGGTCTGCTCTGTCTTGGGTTTTGCTGTTCAGTTTAAGCAGAAGCTTAAACCTGCTGTCCTGGAGAATCCCATCTCCTGGCTGCTCTGCTGCAGCCGCTCGGCTGTGGCTCTGGAGGGCAGGGGGAAGCTTTTTGGGGGACGCGTTATGCTGGGCCCGCAGGCTGCGGGGTGGGAGGACGCGTCTCAGCTGGGTGTCCTTTGTAGCCCCCTCCTGGGTGTGGGAAGCGGGTAGGGTTCTGCAAACCCAGGAAAGCAGCTGGTTCTGGCAGGGCAGAGCTTGTCTGTCCTGGTCAAGGTCTCAGAGGTCTTACCAGGTTACTGGCTTGTTGACTGTTTGAAATACCAGCATGTGTTGCTTCCGCTCTGCTCTTGCAATTTCCAGCCTTGCTGAACTGCTGCTCTGCTTTCTCACGTTGGGTGCATTACCTTCATTGGTTTGCTGTAGTATTTGAACATCTCTGGATGACAGATTGACATCTTACCAGTACTTAATGAACAATGCTGCACACCTGTAAGGAGGTTTCTTTTACTTTTTTCAGTGAGGCAAGTGAAGTACAGAGGTCAGTGCTCCAACACAGTGCAGAAGGACAAATGCAGCCCATGTAGATGTACAAAAGCTTATTCTTAACATCAGCTCTGTTGGAACTGTTGCAGCTATGTCAGTGTGGAGTGCATCCAGGCTAATTGTTCAGGTCCTTGCCTGGCTCATGGATAGAGCCTGTAGCTTGCGTTGAGCTCTGGCTGCACTGCTGGCTTGCTTTCTGGAAGGAGCAAAGCTGGCATGGATGCTTCAGCTTTGAAATGCAGTCACAGGTTTTGGTCTGACGTGGACGCGTACTGTAAGAACTGCATTGTTTTGCATGAAAGACTGAAAAACAAATCTGGAGCAGTGTGGAGGAGAAGCCAGTTATCCTGACTTCTGGTCATGTGCTTTCACCACAAAGACCCTGTTTCTTCTTTTACTTAACTGAAGAATTCCATTAGATCAAAAGCTAGTTAAGGAAAATAGAGCCCCATGTGGTCCTGTGTGGTTACTTAGGCAAGTGCTATTTTTAGGAATCCCAGTTGAGTAAGCCCTGGCTCTTGCTGCTGTTAAAATCCATGGAAGCAAAATTAAAACTTCTACCTTAATCTCATCTGCATATAGGCCACTTGGCTCTAGCCATCTGGTTTGGTTTTTTTTTTTTCCCTTTGCCTCCCCCAGCTTGTTCCCTGCCTTGCAAGGATTTTTGCCTTTCCAAAGTGAGAGTTAATCAGTTCCTTGGGCGTGGGAGATTTGGAATAAGGCAGGTAGGAAGTAAAGAGCTGTTGGAGTTGTTCTGTTCTGCACCTCTGAGGATCATTATCAGAGCTGTTAATGAGCTCTTGCCCTCTAGTCCTAGGGTTCTGCCTCATTCTGTGCAACAGCTTGTCTTCACTTTAGCTTCTGTGACCCAGTTTCATTGATCTGTAGAAGATGCTTCTTGCCTGCTTCGCCCCCTCCCGCAAGCGGGGAACCCCCATTTGGAAGGTGGGACCTGCTTGCAGCCCTTTATCCTGGTGCTGCTGAAGAAAACTTCTTGCTCACAAAGTTTTGTATACAGACCTGTTTGATCTGCCTTGTAGGAGCATTTTGGGGGGTGATGATAGAATTAAGACAGTTTGGTCTTGAATTAAAATGTAAGAATACAGTTCCTTTTCTGGAAACAGTTGCCTGACAGTGACCAGATCTCTCTCTACAACTTCATGCCCTGGCTTCCAACATGTAGAGTTTTTGCTACTTATTTTTGTGAGTATTTTTCTCAGAATCTGAACAGAAAAGCAGTGGAGACGT